GATGGCGGCGCCGCGCCGAGCATGCTGGGGGATGTAGTTCCTCCGCCCCGGCTCCCAAAATGGCGGCGGGGGCGCAGAGGCTGCTGCTGAGGGCGTCGTGCCTTATCCGGGTCTCCACGTACCTTGCTCCCTCCACCGCGATCCCTGAGGGGTTTGCAGTACTGGAGGAGGAAACACCTTTTCGGCCCTCGGGGAAGAGGAGGAGGGAATGAGATTTCCACAGCCAGAGGTGGCCTGCTTTGTCCTCCACCCTGTTTTCCCTCATTCGGCTCCCTGGGGGTAAATACCGCAGCAAACCTCCCTCGGGACGAGGTTACTCAGCTCCTAAAAAAGGAGACTGTTCCTTTCAGTCGTACTCATTTATCTCGGTTTCCTCTATTCCCACGTAAGTTTGAAGGTCAACTAGCCAGGCAACCTGTCTCAAATGCTAGTGATGAGCGCCGAGGGAAAAAATAGCAGGGCAACTCCTTTTGGGATACCCTCTCACCTCTTGCAATCAGTGATTTAAAATTTCCTGACCAGAGGTGACATCCCATCATATTTTCCTTGTGTTTAATAGCATCACTGGGCCTGCCCTCCAGAACTGGAGGAACTGGAAAAATAATCACTTTCATGCTTTTGGCCTTCTTTCACATTATGTTCCACATTTTTATTACACATTGTATGAATCTGTGTGTCTTTTTATCTCAAGCCCAGTGCCGAATTACTGCATTGCGTGTAAAAGTTAGTAAACTGAGTCTCTATTCACTTTTTTCACACAGTTTTATATGCCTCCCACTTTAGTTTTCTCTTTTCTGGGCTGAAAAATCTGCCTTTTTTCTTTGCGTCTGAAAGCTACTCTGTTGTCCCCGTTGAATTTGTCTAGATTTTCTAACTCCTACATTAATACTACTGTGTAACCAGAATTAAATGCAGTAATCAAGCTACAGGTGTACAACAGGTTTATGTATTACATGGAATTATACTGACCCTAGTTTGTTCTCTGTTCCTTTCCTAATACCTTCTGATGATTCTGTTTGCTTTTCTCCTCAGCTACAATGTCTTTTCAGAGCCCATTCCTGAGTGGCGAAAGATAATAAGTAACTATTTTTTACTGATAGTAGGATTATTTCCTCGTATACAGCCTTTGCACTTATCAAGGTGATTTTTCTGTCATTTTATAATTTACTTGCAAAATACTGTGAGACCCATCAGCAACTTTTCTCAACGGCTTTCCACTTAATTATCCTGAATACTTTTGTACCATCCGCAAATTTTGTCAAATCTCTGTTCACTGCCACAAACTATTTGTACAGGTTGAACAGTCACATCCTATAGGATTCTACTGGGTAACCTCCTTCCTTTACTATTTCTTAATCTTTCTTTCCTAACTTTAATCTATTATTAATCTGTAAGAGATTATTCATTTTTATCAAAAGGAGAGAAGAAGATAAGGACAGAGGGAAGAGAGGATTCAGAAGAGAAGAGGAGGCCTCAATACCAATAGACTGGAAGTCATAAAAAGGGTGTGGTTAAAGCAGCAGGGCCCAACAACCAACTTGGAAAGAATTTGCTTTAAAATTTAGCCTTCCATACTGATAGCATTGTTTTTGTTCATGTCTGTTAACATCTATCAAGCTTTGAAGTAAAACATTAGAAGGTGAAAAATGAAATACATAATATATAGAAATGTATATCTACCTAAAACTGACACAGAAGATAGGGAAAAAAAGTCTAAAACAATCACATTAACAATTTATGACTAAATTGTAAAGAGACAATATCCAAAACAGTATGTATTTTGTCACACGCAATTTTTTGCCTGTTTCCTGAAAAAATTTACATAATCTCTCTACGTGAGTTAACGTTTATCCTTCTTGTTGCCTGTCATAATTTTTTCCAGTAGCTTTAAAATTCATTACCAATTTCAGCCAAATTTAACAGGAGGTTACAGGTTGTTACACTCCTGCAAATTCCATGAAAACAGCTGGCAATGTAGAGCAGGGTTTTTAATGAGGGGAAGACTCCAAAGCGAACGCATTTCTTACTGAACAACAGAAAACCAAAATATGGGAGCCTAAACCACTGGGAAAGTTCAGTCAGAACAAGCTTCATTACTCCTGCTCATGGAACTATTTGTTACAATCCTATTTGAATAGGTATTGAAATGTGTAAATGTTTATTCTATAAACCTCAGCCCTAGGAAAACTACCACCAATCTATAGAAAATGCTGTTTTCTTAAGAACCAGACTCAAATGCCATTAAAGATACTGATACTCTAGATGCAGAATAAACTGAGTGAGTTTCATGATAAAACCATTTAGTTTATTTGTTGAAATGTCATTATTCACATTGTGTCAGCTGTTCATAATGATGATATCTGACAATTTCTCAACAAAAAGAATACAGAAAGACAAAATGTGCTTTTTGTGATTAAATTAAATGACCAAAGAGTTTTTAAGAATCCTAAGTTAAGATTTATGTCCTGCATCCCTGGAAATTAGCTATAATTATAAATAAAAGAGAGGGATAAATTAACTAAGGGCTTTATTGTTGTTGCCATGCATGTATTATTACAACATCAAAAAATTAAACACATATTGAACAGTGCCACAGACTTCGTGCAGGCAATACTTCCCATTATCAGAACTGGAAGTTAAATTTGTATGAAAATTGATTTTATATTATTTATTGTGTATTATTTATTTATCATTAGTGAAAATCAACTTTGTAGTCAAATGTTAGGTGTTGACATTCCTCTGACTTACTGAGTGAACAACGCCCATCCTGATGAAGTAGTTGTCTTCAATATCTTTGGCCCCACATATAGCAAGCTTTATTTGGCAGCTTTTGTCTTAAAACCCTGCAAAATGCATTTCAGTATTGTTACATGAATATTTTATTAAGCCTTTAGAAGCACAAATTACTGTTATATTAACGAAAATGTTGTTTGCCTCAAGTTGGTTGAGCCTAACTTTTTTTTTTGAGTTTAGTAAAGATCCTGAGCAAAACACCTTTGATATCCGCCATCGAAAATAAAAAAGAGTTAGCTAAAATACGCAGCTTTGTTACTTCAGTTCTATCCTAATAACGGCAAATTCTCAAGCCTTTTACGATATCTACAGAAATACACAGCAGCTTTATAAATTACTTCCTCTTAATAAGGCACAATAAGACACAAGGCAAGCTTTATAACATTCAAAAAAACCCTGCAGTTTGCTCTTAATATTGTATCTACCTATTTAGCGTATTAAATTCTGGTATAGCTAATATCAAGCCTTTTTAAGAGCTTCTTTTCTTTGAAAAGCCTTATTGTTGGCTACTGTACGTCACCTGCTAAGACATGTAGTTGTCTAAGTCACTCTGATACTTGCGAAATTTTTTTCTGAAATTTTAAATGCTGGTGATAATTTTCCATTGATTTGGAGCCTGAATTCTTTTGTATTTTTTGACAAAAACGATAACATTCTCTTTGGGGGCAAAAAATCTCTCACCAAACCATGATATTACTACAATAATTGTAGTAGTTATTTGTGAGTCTGACTTCCAGGAAATAGGTGCCACGTGGAGCAGTCTGAGCTCCCTTACCAGGGCCTGGCGGGCCATTTAGTTCTTGGCTTCAGACATTTACATGTTCCTTCTTCATGCTCTCCACACCCTCTGTCTTTCACTTCTTTCATATTTTCTGTTGCTCTCGCCGTATTTTCTGCTTCTTCTATAGTATATCCTGTAGTGAAGTAAGTTCTTCCACTTTGATGATCTAGGAGTCCCTGTTAGGATTAGGTTAATCTCACTAGAAGATATAAAAAGACCATCCTTCTTACAAAGGAGGACCTGTTGTCATATGGAAAGGGTTACAGCATAAGCCTTACAGTGAAAGTGCTGGAAACAGTGTAATTTACAGCATATATCATGGTTATCTTGAACAAAAGCACTGGAAATAAAGGCAGCCATTTTGAATAAGGGCTACATTGAACAGGTTTAAAGAAAAAAGTATCGCTAAAATACTAAAATTTCATAAGATTATAAGAGCAGAAGTTACATTAAGTAGGACAGGAAATGAATGTTGACTACAGAGCTAGAGGGGTGATTAGATGTATTTATGTGCACTCTCCTTGGCTGTCCTGAACCACTTCTTCTATGGAATAGATTAGCAGGCTTCCACTTTCTGTTCCACCAGCCTTCTCAGGTATCACTTATGTACAATTCTACTGGCATAGTGTGATGGACTTTCATTATAGGAATGTTTATGCAGCTTACTCTAATAGGAAAATAAGTGTTTTTAATATGACACTCCTGTGATGTTCCAACAGTGAGAGAAATTGGGGAAATGTAAAAGGAGGGTGTTTGTTATAATTGTATCTCACTGCAGTGAGACCTATGGGACACAGTGAGGTTTCTAATAACACAAGTTCCTTTTCTGATAGTGTGCCAAG